GTAATAAAACATTTAACCTTAGTCTAGAGCAAGTTTTTAACTATGTCGATTTGAATATAAATATGGACCATAAGTTTAATTTTAGTATTTATATTGATACCATGGTCTTGAAAGCAAAAGCTGTCCTCATTATCGTTGGTCTAAAGAATTTAGAGATCCGTATATTACTAAACCACATTTTACAACTTTGGTTAGACCTATTTTGGAATATGGCTCAGTTGTATGGAATCCTAGCTACCAAATCCATTCTGACAAGTTAGAGTCTGTTCTTACTTTTCGCCTTAGGGCATTTCCGATAGGATTCTAGGGTAAGTCTACCTCCATACACTAGTCGTTTAAACCTTATAAATCTAACTACACTTTCTAGTCGTAGGGAAATTCTTGGCATAATATTCTAAATATCTTGAATGGAATAGTTTTCAGTTTTTTTCTCCTGTCTGAAATTAAATTTAATATACCGGTTCGCTTTTCGAGGCAGTTAAGACCTTTACAGTTAACATCCTGTAGATCCAATTCCGAACTAACAATGTCATGATTTTAATTTTCATTCCAACACATTTTACTTATCTAACTCACAAAATTAAAAAGACTTTATTGTTTTCTCTTTATAAATAAAATTGGAACAATTCATTATATCATTGACTATAATTCTTAGCTGTTAAATTTTTGTTTCTGTAGCTGAGCAGTTTTTGTTGGGCGGGAGGAGGTTAATCGTTGGGTTATTATTATGTTTGTAACACCCAAAATAAACGTTGGATACGCTCTAATGTATATAGGTATATCAATGATAAGAGTGATGAATTGAGCTGATTTTGCCAGATCTTCAGACATATCATTCAAATCGGATCACTATAGCATATAGCTTCCTGACAAACTGACCTTTTTAGGAATTTTGGAGTAAAGTGTTTAGAAATTTTGAAACAAATTTAAAAGTTTAGAACCATTTTATAACAATTTGAGAATTTGTGTATTATTTACAAAGTTTGCAGTTTTGATGTGTTCGGTTTTTGGCGTGGTACAAACAATACTTTCCTAGAAAGACTATTTAAGACCAACAACTAACTCCATTGTTTCTAATTATCTGGTCATTACTGTATGAACAAATAAAGTACTAATTTGGCTTTTACCAATTATTAATTTAATATTAAAGCAAAATCTGTATCCTTAACCCTCTTATTTTATCCATGTATTATTTTATTTTAATTTACTCTACATCAACAACAACTATACTATCTAGTCACTCAGCTTCTACTTAACAATATTCAAGTTTAGTTGTAAGTAAGTAGGCGGCTTGTTGTGTCTTATATGGAGTAATTAGTTGGCTTGTAGCTGCAGCATTGAAATGTGATGAGCCAAATCAGTGTAATTAATCAGTGTATAAAATTGTGTTACACCACAAGCGGCCTGGCAGTTCTGTGCATAGCGGTATATACATACATACATATTTATAAGGCTGTATGGTAATTGACTAATTATTGCTGATATTTATCGATAGCAACAAAACTGCATAGCTGAAAGAGACCACACCAATACAAGTATGGTAGCAAGTCGTCATTGGCAAGCAACTACATAGCGGTACATCGTACGCTAAGTTATATGCATGTGTTCGTAACTACAATTTTGTAATTAGATAAACGTAGTTGAGTCGAGTGTCGAGTGAACTTGGCAAGTGAAACTTTATTTTATTCTAACTTACTTACAAAGTACCAGCTTTTGGCCCAGGGGTTGTGCTGTACGAACTGCCAACTACTTATGTATATGTTGCGTCTTGTATGTGCTTTCACCTTACAAATATACATATGTACATACTCACATATGCGTACTTTTAGGGGTACGTCATCACTTAACCGAGCAATAGTAATTGTAATTAATTACTTAATTATATAAAGATTATGTGATTCGTCTTCATAATATGACTCGGGGCTAACAAAGATGTGCCAGTCAGCTCGACCAAATCGAATTTATTCAATTAAATCAAAGTGCACATGCTCGTGTGATGTTTGAAATACTGTGTGTTGATAGAAGAGTAATAAATATGTGCTATCAACAGAGTATTTCGAAAAATAAATTTATTCAAAGTTGGAAATCGGTGAATTCAATCGGAAAAATAAAATATTTTGTAATGAATTCGATCGTGCGTTTGGTAATTTGAAAGCGTAAATATGTATGGTTGCACATTTGTATTCAGCAAAATTTGCGAAATGTGAGCGTGATTCTGTCGCACAAGCGAAAGTGTGAAATATGCGCTGAGTATTCACAGCAATGATAAATTGGATTTGTCGAAATGACTTTTTATTATTGCGGCTTAACGAGCAGAAAAACTTTTAATACCGATTGTCATGTTAAACTTTACCGAATTTAACGATATGGATAAGCATTTATAGCACTAGTCGAGTGGAGAATATTCGAAAAACTAAATATTAATGACATTATACTCAATTTTTAGAGCTGGGTGAAAAATAACGGAAAGTAATTAAATTTTTTTGTTTTGAATATTTAGTTTGTACAAAACTATTAAAAGTTAATTACGTCTAATTTTTCATACATATTAGTGCTCTCAAATTGTATTGAGTAATAAAATACCCTCAATAACATTAAATTTCGTATAAAAAACCAGAAAAAACCTTAACTTCGGTTGCACCGAATGCACCGAAACTATATAACCGCAACATATACAAAAGATTCCATACAAAAACTTCATTTTGATTGGTAAGTTCGTATGGCAGCTTTATGCTATAAGGGTCCGATATCAACGGTTCCGACAGCTACTTCTTGAGGAAAAAATCGACTCAACTCGTCACGCTGATCATTTATATATATACTTTATAGGGTATCCGACGTTTCTTTGTGAATATCCCGTTCAGGGTATTAACATGTTTTACATTAATACAATAGTTATAGTTTACAAGCGAAAAGCTTATATTTCGATATGAAGTATGACTTTTTAAGCTTATCTTGTAAGCTACTAACATCTTTGAAGAATGCGATTGTGATTGACTGACTAATTTGGCATATGCTTTTTTGAAATTTCTGTTAGAATTTGGATTTCGTAGAAATTTCTTCCACGAACTTGTGCTATCAAAATTAAAAACGCGAACTTAATCTATGTAATGGTAATATATTTTGGACCCTAATTTTACTAACTCTAAGCCAAATACAAAATTCCGCTTTTTGACAATCCCTTTTTAATATCCTGTCAAGGTCCTTCTTACACCTAGCAGAATTTTTTTTGTATTCCTTGTATTTTATCTAGAATTTCTATATCTCCTACTTATATATAAATGGTAATGGGCATATAAATTACTAATGCATTTTTAAAGATATTCCTGTTGTTATGAATTTCCTCTCAGTTCACATGGGGGTTAACACAATAATTTTATGAGAGAGTTTTGAGAGTAGGTGTTGAAAGGAATATAATGGTGCTACAGGTAAAATTGGGTATATTAATTTACTTTTGAAGGTTTTATAAATAACTTAAGCTTCGTTTTAATTATTACAAATACCGTTCATTTTTGTAGTTTGAATTGATCAACAAGTCTATTGGGAAAAAAACTATCGAAATTATTTGCTGGAGTTAATACTACGTGTAATGTGGCACACTAATAGAGCGGCGTAATCTCAGTTTCGGGACTAAAACTAAGAAGACTTTTATACGATTCGGAAAATTCAGTTGCGAGTTTGTAGTTGCTTTTTTAACTTAAATAATTTATTGAATTAAAAAGTTTCAAAATAGATTAATGGTAATTAAGGTTCTTAATTTATTAATTGAAAAAATTTTAATTCGATGTTGGGATTGAAAACTTTCTATTATTTTATAATTGAACATATTATTTTTAATCCAAAAATCAGATTTAGTAATTGATAAAATATAAATGGTTGGAATGTGTAAGTTTTTTGACCAGTGCTTTAGAGTATTTTATATGATGGTACCGTGCAAGCTCGGATTCAAAATAATTGAACACAAAGTTCGTAAACGTGAAAAAATGTTGATTCTAAAACAATTTCCGTTCTTAATTTTTAATTATATCCCAAGCATACATATTTTTCAATCCGGTTTTTGGGATTAAAGTCTTTCTCATTCTATAATAAATTTGTGGATATATTCGCAGGTAGTTAACAAATCGGCCAAAAAGAGAAAAAAGAATTAGCTTAAATAATTGTATCAAATGTCACTTCAATTTGAACAAAATGGAATTTTAAATTTGAAGAGATGTGGTCAATATTTAATACAAGAGCGAGTTAATGGATCTACTAGTTTTACTTTATTCTTTAATTTGGAAATAGCGGATTTTGGTGAAACAATGGTTTCAGTGCTAGTGATTTTGTATACCCAAGCTAGGAAAAATTAGATCAAGGGACTAATGAGCGAGCTATACGAGTATAATAAAACGCACATATATTTTTTTAATACAAATTTAATTTAGCGCTTATATAAGAATAAATGATTTTTGAGAGTAGAAGGAAATCGCAAAAGTGTCGCAAACAGGTTTGGGTATAAAAATTAAGAAACGAACCCATAATTCTTTGCATTAGACGTTTTCGCAGGGTCCCTTTTAAATGCCAAATGGCAGAACACGTGGATGGCATTAATGATTAAATGAAAGTGAAAAACTTTAGCACGTGCATGCTTTGGCGCTTTGAAGTGTGCTCCAAGCAAGGGGTGCATGCTTATAATATTATATATCACACCAGCGTACACCCATATGTACGAGTATCTATACAAAGGTATATGTTTAATACATATAACCTGCAGTTGCTTAATAGACGGACTGCTATTCCGCACAAACTGCTGTGACCTTTATTGCTCTGTTTTATGCTTGTCTCTATTTCGTTTTATTGTCAACGCTGTCATTTGCAACACACACCATGCACCATGCAGCTTTATATGGTAATGAGTGTTGCCACCGGCTGACAAGTGCAACACAGTAACATCACGACACTCCGTTGTCAGTGCCTTCACCTATAACCTGTTTTATTCAACATATTGCACCTGCACTTACCTTTTGTATGTATGTATGCGCATGTAAATGCTTATTTTGTATGCAATGTATTCGTAGACTACGCCTCTGGTATAGCTTTGCATTGGAGATTGCTCGGCGTCAGCTGCCGTTGACACTCACTCACACCTGGCTATCGGAAATGGGATTTATTACTACGTATACGTGCTTTAGTGTTTTTGCTGTTGTACATACCTACATACTTTGCATATAATATAGAATTGATATTTTTCTTTACTAACCTTTACTGCCCATGAGAGTGTTTTATTATAAACTCTTATAAAGGTGTGAGATATTTCTGTTACGCTTGTATTTAATAGTAGTCACATCGGAAGACAACTATCCACGCCACTTTAAAAACATACCTCTCTATCTTCCCCTACTCAACTATTAATATAAATATTTATACGAAAAAATCAAAAATATAAAGATATAATTGACACTATTGTCATGGTCGATTCAAACTCAACTATTGTATAAATAAATTGGGATATTGAGAGCATTTTTAGTTCAGTGTCACATTAACTAATAACTTAGAAATAATAAAATTTTTATATAATTAGTTTAAGTTTCTGTGAAGAAAATTAAAATTTATTTATTGTATAATACTTCTCCTCTCCAATTAACATATATTCGTATAAACAACGGAAAATATTGATTGCAAAAATACAAATATATATGTATATCATACCGTGTTTTTGCTTTCTTCGACGAATTTTACATATTTCATATGACCAAATTTTGCAAACATCAAAAGAGGGGAGGCAAAACTTACATATAGTAGACCAGGGTCAATAATTTTATTAACCAAAAATAATAATTAGACTGATTTAAGAAGTAAGAAAATCTAAATCCTGTAAGTGGAAGGAAACGGGGATCTTTGAGAATTTACGGGTAAAGACAAATAGATGAAATAAAATAAGCAGCTCCGACTTTTTTATAAGCGCAAACGTTTTGACGTGAAAATTTTCGAATGAAAATTAGGGTCATTTTCCGATATTAAGTAAATATATCTTAAATCAAAACAATTAGGGTATGTTTGGTACAAAAGGTTAGTTTACCGCAAATTTGGTGAAAGAAAAAACAAATTTGGAAAGATAAAATAAAAAATTGGTTATTTGAATTTTTCACATAAATTTTGAGGTCAAGGAAAAAAAAGTTTTACTCTAGGAAACATTATATATTTAAGCCATGTGTTTCCTTTCAAATCTTTTTCGATATTCACCGCCCACGGACGGCTCCACAGACCTTGCGGAGAACAATTCTTTCGAATGCTGGAAATGCTTTCTCATCGCTGTCCTTCATCGTCCAAATTCTGCGCCGTATACTAGGACGGGAATGATGAGAGACTTGTAGAGCGTATTTATTTTTAACGAGGAGGCGGATCTGCCTCTCAATTGACTACCGATCCCAAAGTAGTACCCGCAGGCTAGAATTGTTGGTTGAAATTATGCTGGTTTCGAGACATACAAAAATCTTCACTTTTTCAAATTTTATACTGTAACCTTCACATAGATTTTAAAACTTTCAATAAGGAATGAATAAATAAGAGTATCGTTGTTATTATAAGTTTTAGCATAATTGATTCAAATTAAAACATAATTGAAAATTTATTTTTATTTTATATACTTTGCGTAATAACAAATTAAATATAGATTATAAAGGACTTCAATATTAAATAACTTATATATGAACATTAACATATGTATATATATATGTATATGTTTATGTTTACATTTCAATATCAACTATATGGTTCTTTACGTATTTAATCCCTAAAGTTAAGGGGCTCACACTTTCGTTAGCATTTCGCCTCTAACTTTTAAGCCTTTTCTAGCAAGCTGATTATCCTTTTTTCTGAAATTAAGCGCGTTAAAACAGGAAACCGATTTGCTTTCGCCTCCGAATTGTTTATTATTCATAATTTTGTACTCTGTTCTAACCGTACTCTGCAGCAACCACCCACTTAGCCTTCAAATCACCCGGCTACAACGGCCATTTCGCATAATATCAGTGCTAAAGTTTAACCCTATTAAATAGTCATGTATCGCTGTCGTCCAACACATCTGCAAAACACTCTAAGCCATGTTCTTTCACATGTGTGGTTTATAACAGTCAACACTTTTTGTATCGTTTTCAAACCCAAATACTTTTACCAACGTCGAAAATTCTATTAACCTCAACTGTAAATATGTACATCTGTTAAGGGATACATTGAGAGATGCGAACGACTGTTTGGTAATTAGATTTGTACGCGCTTGATGTCATGTGCTATATGTATTTACATGTTTTCAGAAAAAGGCCAACAATGGGTTTGTGTATGTGTGTATTGTATGGAGAGATAAGCTAAGCCAATTAGGCACACACGTGTGCTTTCAACTGACGGTAATTATGTTGCAAACAGCAAAAAACATGAAAATAGAATTATGAAAATCTCAAAACAGTATGGGATGCAAAAGACAAATACAATTTACGCAATGTCAGCCTCAAAGTACATGTGGAAAAATAAATTAAACCTTTGTTCTATTTTTCATGTTTCCGCTGACAATATTTGATTTATTACTTTTTAATGTCGACTCGACTGTCGCAGAAGTACGCACGAAAGCACCATTTGAGGTAACAATTAAATTAGCCTTAGTTCGAAAGGGCTAACGACAGCAGTCGAGACCGCACATTTAAATAAATTAGCCACAAAAAGTTTGAAGCGTTGCCACGGTTACAGTAGATGCGCTATTGGAAGTGTTTTGTGTTTGTTTAGAATTTTTATGCACTCTGGAGCGCATCTGGTGTCATGTAAGCTACTTTTCTATAAAATAAAATAAAACCTTAAATAAAATTATTCAAAACGCTAAATATTGATATAATTTATCAAGCTATTGTCTTCTTCGGCCATTTCAATCATATTTTGGCAAAATTTCAATCGAATAGGAAAATCTAGAGGGTTTAAAAGCCTTGTTATTTGAACTAAGGAAACAGGTATAAGTCATTATAAATTATCCGTTGTAATGAATTGACGATACAACAGCCGCAATTGTTTCTTAAACTCGAACATACGGATCTCAATGGTACGGTCTTCTTGCGATACTCCAGATTCAACAAGCATGTGTACCACTTCATAATGGTCCATCTACTCGGGGGAGTGCCGCCAAAATACCGACTGAATTCCGTTTGAGCGGAAATAACGGAATACTACTACGGACTGTACTATCCGAACCCGCTTTTCGGTATCCCAAGCATTCATTTTTAAAAAACCTGTCAAATAAAAAATAAAAACTAAGTCGACCACTCACACTGAAAAACGTTATTACGGTTGGTTTTTGTAGCACGATTCGTGAGCCACCCTGTATTAAGCTCACAAAACATAGTCGCATTGGTTGCGTATACGTAAGGGATTACTAATATGTGGAATCGCAGAATATGCGCCGTTTAACAACATTGAAGTCGGTGTTTGTGGTTTTTGAATAGCTGAAATTTATCTATTAAATAATATGATTTTAAGCATCTTCTATTATATAGATACTATAAATACTAAGGATTTTAAGAAAACCATTTAAGATGAAGGGTGACTGTTTGGTAATAAATAGTGTGACTTTAACTGACTGACTAACTTTCTTGTTTTCAAATACTATGCATTTTCTAGATTCTACGAACCAATTTTTATGACTATTAGATTTATGTTTCGTACTCTTTCCACACAATTATCTTTTTTTGCATTGCGATAAATTTCATGAGAACTATTTATAATTAAGTAATCTCTGAACTAAAACATCATGTCAGGCCTAAGTGAACACTGTCCATACGTTTACGTTTTATACAAATTGCTTTAATTAAAATCCGCAAAATTTTGAATTATTTAAATTTACTTTTAAATTGTTTGTTTGTCATATAAAATTATACGGTTGAAAAATCGCAAATATTTTCCGTTTACAAAAACAAATACTTATGCTAAAAATAAATTAAATACATATATTATATTTAAATTGTGGCTCATACTAACAGATTTAAATATAAATTTTTTGCGTTTAAAGTTGATAAAAACTGAACAAAAATTTAAAGAGGCTTAATTTGGATTAGCGGTGAAATCCATAGACTTTGGTGCCAATGAACTATGCTAACATTTTCATGCCTTTAATTTTTTACTTACAAACTATTTTGCTTATTATAATAAAACGTTAATTTGAATGCATACTCATACAATATATAGATATCGATTGAAATTACAGCGCATGAACTCGAAAATTTTCGTACGCAATATATATATACTTATACATAAAAATGAAAATGTGGGTAATTCAAATTTGTTTAAACAATTATTTATTTTTACAATTAATAAAATATAGCGGGCATATTAAGCTGACTGGTGTTTTCCTGCGTGACCAATTTGTTTAAAACCCACAGTCTTGCTGAGCTCATGGTTGCATTTGTTGCAGTCAATTAATGAGGCAAATAAAAACTCAATCACGTTGAGTCATTAAATTAATGACAATCGATTACAAGAGTAATGTAAATAATATAATTGTAACGGGATGAGTTCGAAAGTGAAGCTACGCATATGCAAGCGAATAAATTCATTAAAAAATATATTTTTCTGTTTTTGTGGGAGAATATTTTTATTATATTTATATGTTGAGTAAAAGCTAATTAATAAAGGGTAATAAATTTAAGATCCATAAACAATAACCATATTAAAAGCTTTTAAGCTCTACACGTAGCTGTCAATAAAAAAATTAGTGTGAGAGTAGAAGGCATTAATTGAGTGTAAGTAAATACCAAATCTAAATGCATATATTTATTTTTTAAAGAGTCGTAATAGTCTGATATATTAAAGAGACTTCTGTTATCGAGTAACTGATTAAGTAGTGAATTATATGAAAATAATAGATCTATTTTAGTCGCAGTTGTTCCACTTATGATTTCGTTATATTTTTTGTTACCAAAAGTTGTCTCTTAATTTTGCTTAATTACTCTATATTGCCACGATAAGGTTTTTCGATCTCACATAGTTCAGCGCTGTTATTCCAAGTCAGTCGGCTAGTGCGCTCAGTACTGACCTCATGTAGAGTATTATGGTCAGCTTTCATTCTTTAATAGGAAAATATAGCTTTCCGTGCCCGTAAAATTTTAGTAACTCCTTTATTTTGAACACCGTGCACATTCTACGGCTTTCCTAAAATACAAGGTCAATAAAAACAATAAATGAACCCTTTTTATTCAATAACATATTATATATAGTATTATTTGTCTTCCATTCGCCAAGCGTTACAGAGTAGCCAATCGAACAAAACATACGAGACGTTCAAACAAACAGGCAGCACTAATGGTGCAACCCTGAGCACCTCTGACACATTCTCAATTGTGCTACGATTATTTCTTGGTGGATAAATCTTTTTTCCCGTGTTAAAAATGGTTTTACAAACACCTAAGTTTTTTTTTTATAAACTATTATAATTGATTTTAAATTTCAAGTTTTAAAAATGAAAGAATAAGAAAAAATTTGTATTTT